TGTTTTGGAACGTCATCATTGGCTTCTCGTCGAGCTTCAGCTCCCATCCCTGAAGACGATAGTATATGACAGCATGTTGAATTACATACCATTGTCTGATTTGAGAGATATTATTTGTAAGGGATGGAATGCTCATTTGGCTAAATACTTGGATGCGATTGATTATTGGACTAATTCTGTAAACAAGAAGCCAAAAAAGTTCAAAGTTACAACGATCAGAGACGAGACAACGCCACAACAAACGAGGGAGCCAGAGGGGATTGTGGTCCTCTTGTATGCATGTGCTTGGAAAGTTCGACGACAGGAAGTAAACAATTTCTACCTCCCACAGATAGAGATAGAGGTGCAGTAGTATTGTAGTTTCGGCATTTTATGGCTAGAGTGATATATGCGAGACGTTACCTACCTGCATCCGCGTGCTGAAAGTGTGCATAAACAACAAAAATTGGTAAGTTTGAGCAAGTTTTGTTAACATATATACTTTTTGTTGGTTTGAAAATGTTTGGTTAAATACTTAGATAATTTGCTGTTTGTTGGTTTTAGATGTGTAGAAAGTGTTATTTTTGAGCAAATGTTTGGTTTCTGCAGGTTAATCCTAAAGTGAGCTGCGTGAATGTATTTGGATGTAAACTCACTATTGTTAGGAGCATTTGGATACTGTCTGGGGTTAAATGTGCTGTTGATTTGTTTTTTTAGATGTGTAAATAAGAATTGTTTTTTGCTTGTTTAATTGATTTGTAAAATTTGTTTTGTTGTTTAAGAAAATTTCAATCTGCATTATGTTGAAGGTAAAAAAACTGTTGAAGGTACACTTTCGCAATGCGAAAGTCAAATTCGCGTTGCGATTTTCGTGTTGTGATGGTTGCAAAAGTCAAATTCACGTTGCAATTTTCGCATTGCGAAGTCAAATTGGCAACACGAAAGTTAAATTCGCAATGCGAAAGCCAAATTCGTGTTGCGATTTTCGCGTTGCGAATTTTTCTTTCGCGTTTCAAATTTTACTTTCGCATTTCGAATTTGACTTTCGCAACAATCGCAACGCGAATTTGACTTTTGCAACAATCGCAACAAAAACTCGCAACGTGAATTTGACTTTTGCGTTGCGAATTCAAGGAAAACACCTTAAAAAAGATAACAAACAACAATCTTATAAGTGATAACAACTGAACAGATCATAGCAATGTTCAAACTCAAGTTACTAATGAATGTCTAATTGAAAATGTATGCATTCACACATAAAATACACATAATACAACGTTTGCATTTAAAACTCACCCACGTTAATAAGTACCAAAAGGTGAAACCGGTTGTGATTGGGATTTTGATTTTGATTTTGATTTCCTTTTGCTTGGCACCATATGAGCTTTGGATTTTGATGAGGATCCATATTTTGGTAGATGAAAAGATGATTGTGATGGCACTGGTGATCCACAGGTCAACCTTGTATGACCACTTTCCTTGCACCGACTACATGTCGATATCCTCTTCTCTTTACCCTTAGACGGTATACGATCATGATTTTTTGGTTGGCCAGGTAGTCTACTGTCCATGACTGGTGGCAAAACTGTTTGTAAGTCATCTGGTATGTCCCACTCAGAAGGATGTGGAATAGGGTAGACAATCTCGGCATAAGTCTATCGATATACTTCTGTGGTGTAGTAATCCATAGCGTATGCACTTGAATCATCTTGGTTTAGATGAAGAGTAACTTTTATAACATGGCCACACGGATAACCAGATATTTGTCATTTCATACAACTACATGTCTTTGCATTTAGATCGACAAGCCCATTTAAGTTATTATCCAATACTTCAAACAAAGTGTTTGAACATGGTTCAACTCTCCATGACGTTGACTTCACAACACATTTTGTTATCTTCTTTTTTTTCAGTCCATGGTGTAACACGACGTTCCAATGTTCCTGTAAATTTAAATAAATAATACTTAGTAAAATATATAAATATGACAAGTCACGAATTTAAAGAAATAATACATGTATGGTTTCTTTTCTTGTAGTACCATTGTTGAATAGAGGCTCGAAAAAACTCCATTAACATAGTAATGGGTAATTTCTGGGAATGACGACTTAGAGCGTTGATTGATTCTGCACTATTAGACGTCATGAAACCATATCTTGCTCCAAGTTGATGTACTCTTGACCATCTTTCAAACCCGACATCTTCTAGTGTTTGAGTACATTGAGGCAAAACACGTCTTAAACAATTTATATGCTTATTAAAATCCACTTCCCGATAAGCTTTTAGAGCCTTCCAGTATGTCCATTTATGATTTTTTATACCAGCAGACATTGATTTTAGATTTTTGTACAAATGAACACCACAAAGTCCATAAAAAGCATATGGGAAACACCTTCTAACAACGTTGTCAATTGAGTTTTCCCTATCGGATATGATTATCAGATTGCTAATATGACCTATGCAATGCCTAAGATGCCCCATAAACCATGTCCATGAATTAGAGGTTTCAGATTTGCCAACCCCGTAAGCTATTGGCAGTATCCCATTGGTAGCATCCATGGCTACTGCTAATAAGTTTACTCTAAGGTATCTACCTTTCAAATGTGCTCCGTCAACTATAATAACTGGGCGCATGCAAGTAATAAACGAACGAATCTACAAAATAATATACACAAGAAATATAATCATTTAAATGTGAAATGCATGTAACTAACAAAAATGAGTCACCAAAATTATATTGATTTACTAACCGAAGCACCAATGGCGATAAAAAGCAACTCAAAGCGTCCATCTCTATCTATTTTGATATGAGTTACTGACCCATGATTTTTCAGCTTTAAATTGTGACAATAAGCCGACAGTTGGGCAAACGATGCTTCTGGAGACCCCCTCAACAATTCCAAGGCATAACATTTGGCTCTCCAAGCTTGAGAATATGAGATACTAATCTTGAACTGAGCATTCATGTCAGTCATAATTTCATGTCCCCGATATACCCTTCCATTCAAAAACATTAACTCAGCTAGAAAACCACCCAACACCTTTTTGTTTGCCTGTCTATGGTGAGGAAAACTTGGGTTCTTGAACATGTATGTTTATCAATAAAAGTCCTAACTTGAAACATTTTGCAATCTTTTATCCTCTTTGCAATCATACGACACGTAAAGTTTTTGTCAATCATACACTTTGTTTCGAAACGATATTTGCTTGATTTGTTAACTTTTAGTTGATAGCCATCTTCCACACATTTCGTGTACAAAGCTATCTTCAAGTCTTCCTTTGTATCAAAACAATCATCTTTCTTGATACGAATAACTTTTGTGTAACAATCAACTGCTATCTTTACCAACTCTTCTTCAGGTATCTGAAGTAATTCTGACATATTCCAGTTATACTCCCGTAGTATTTTCTTCTTTTTCTTTTCTTCGGGGACTTCTTCTTCTTCTTCTTCTTTTTCTTCAGGGTTATATGAATTACAGAATGGATGTTCAACATGTTCATTCATAGTCGTAACTTCCTCCTCATTATTATCAATAACATCTTCCTCGGCAACGGCTGTTTCATCATCAAAATTCGGGTATTGACCAATATCAAAATCATTACACGCAGGGTTTGTTTCTTCTTCTGAAACATCATCAAAATCCGAGTATTAACCAAGATCGAAGTTCGGGTATTGACCAAGATCAAATTTCGAATACTGACTAGTACTCACAATTTTTTCTGTTGGCTCATAATCGTCTAACTGATCAATACGAAAACCAGAATTTGGTGCTGAAAGTTGATTGGGATTTGGATTAGGAAAAGGTTGTGGGTTTTGAGATTGTGTTTGATATTGTGTTTGGTATTGGAAATATGGTGAAACAAAGTTTTCTTGGTGATGAAATTGTGGTGGAACCATTAAATTTTGAGGTTGATAACAACGTTGTACATTGTGAGCACCATAAACTGGGGTTGAAGAACTTAGTTGATTACTACCCGCTACTGACCCAACTTCACTACTTCTAGGTTCAACAACATACAATGTAACATCATCTTCTTGCGAAACACTAATGTAAGCAATGAATCGTTCAACATCTTCATTATCGGTTAACAAATAAACTTTACCTTTTCTATGATCAGATAACCTAAATCCACTTAGAGGCTCTAAATTCGATTTCTTTGCAATACGTGACATTAGAGTTTCATAAGTTAACTTTTTTAATGACAATTTTAGTTGAAGATTCATGGGTAAAGACATATATTGTAAAACACCATGAACATTCTCCCATGACCCTCCAAAACACAAATCTATCCAAACATGATCAACATTAGATGATTTCATTCTACAAATTGTAAATTAATTTACTAAACAAACAAGCTATAAACTACATATCATCACTAACTTAGAGAAAAACATACATTTGTTAAGTTAATAGTTGATAATTTGGGAGAGAAATATTGAAAAATTATATAGAAATAAAATTATGTAAAAAAAAATAGAGATGGGGAATGATGTCGTTGGATATAAGAACGAATGTCGTCGGAGATAGTGATAGATAGAGATAGAATGAGTTGTGATTTAGGTTATGAATTGTTGCTGCTGCATAGTTATATACCCACAACATTTGTGTTGCGAAAATAAAACATGTTACGAAATTAAAATTCGTGTTGCGAATTCGAAAATCGAGTTGCGAAAATAAAATTCGCGTTGCGAATTCAGAAATCTAGTTGCGAATTTGAAAATCACAACGCGAATTTGGAAAACTACAATGCGAATTTGGAAACTGAGTTGCAAAATTGGTTCACGTTGCGAATTTGTTGGTCATTTTCACAAATCCAAAAAAAATTAATTAAAATCGTATATTATAATACATTTTCGGTCATTATTTTCTCTTCTTTTATTTATTAACCTATTAATTAAAAATTCAATTCAACTCTGGGCTCCTATTTTCCAAACCCATTTCCTCACTTCAACTTTAGAGACTTGGATTGATTAACCTATACTTAGAATTCCCAAATTCTGGGTCTTCCCCATAAACCACTAATTTCCAGCACCCAGAATTCCTTTTTATAATTCTCTTCGAGATTTCCCTTTCAAAAATGATCAGATTCTACTAATAGTGCAAGTTTCAGAGTTTTCGTTTCCCTCAAAGAAAATGACAAGAGCGATCGTTTCCTCAAGTTTATTGGGCTTGTTTCCTGTGGTTTCATCAGCTAAAAGTTGTGATTTGGGTAAAGAAAGAAACAGATTTTGTTGTTTCAATGAGAGGAAGGAGCAAAGAAACGTTATCTGTGCTTGTATGGCTCCTACTAGAAACCTGGGGCGTGATGGATTCCCTGGAACTAAGTTAAATGTAAATATATCTGCAATTTTCTGTTTCCTTTAGCTCTTTATTGTATTTGATTTAGAAGGATATTTTATGGCAGTTTCTTTAGGTTGACTTGAAATTTTGTTCTGTTTGGTCGAATGGAATCTGCTTGATTGCTAGCCATGTCTTCGCTTATATTATATGCCTTATCATTATTGACTTTTTTATTTGGTTCCAAATTGTTTATGTTTTCTATTTTCTGCTGAACATTTGTTCTTTCATGGTAATTTTCGCATCCAATTTATGCTTACCTTTGTCTTGCAATCGAAATGTGTAAAAATATCCAAGAGATTTTAGCATCTGTTTCCTTGTTGCTAATTGTTTTTGCTTTCAAACAGAATTTGCCAAGAGGCAAAGAAAAGGTGGAAAACCGAATCTTTATATTACAAGTGGACAAATAAATAAAATGCAATCCTGTTTCTAACATAATTGTTTTTTAAGTAAAGTGTGCAATTTGTTCTATAGAAATTTTGACACTTACAAGGTTTGATTTTTCAGAAAATTATTATATTTGTTTCCAATTGAGCATTTTGCTCTTGGAAGAAGAAACAACTAGCAAAAGCAGTAACCAAATGAAGCCTTAGGAATTTAGACTTTCTTTATGTATTGCTTTTAGTTTCTCAGTCTCAACATGGTGATTTGCAATTGTTTTTAGGAATCATCTAAATATGGGAATTTGAACAAGGAAGTGAAGCATGAGAATGATTCTGATGTTCTTATTGAATGTCGTGACGTATACAAATCGTTTGGAGAAAAACACATCTTGCGAGGAGTGAGCTTCAAGGTGATTTTTGTGGCTTTAGATATGGTTCCTGTTATTCTAGCAGTGTTTGGACTACATTTCTATTATTCTGATATTTATTAGTTGGGCTTCTGATTGTTATTTCAAGTTGTTAGATACCTTCCAAAAACCGTTTGAACATTTTCTCCAGTGGAAGAGTTGGGGAGTGTCGAGGTGTTCAACGATTCATTTTTATGAATCGTTTCTAGATGAAAATGAAACACTTTTTGGGGATCGAACTACTTTAGAAAAGTCGAAGGTATTGCAGTTATAGTAAATTCAGTCCCATAGTTTCTCAAACAAGTGCATAAAATGGCATCAAGTTGTGTAGTACCATACTACATTATACTTCCCAAATTTCATACTGAGCTGAGAAAACTTTATCTAGAATGATTTAAGGATTGCACACTTAATGATCATCCAAAGCACATTAAGACACTGACACTTTAACATTGGGTAAACCATACCAAACACCTAGCCATAAACAAATTGGAGTACATGAGTAACATATTAATCACAATTTGGTGACATCTTCAATTTGTTATACCAAGTGTTATTTTACAATTTATGGTCTTAGATGTATGGCTTGTGTTCTATTACTATACAATGTGCCCAAGTACTTGTATCCTAATTTTATCCTTTTTACCAATTCCCTATGTCCAAATATTTGAATATAGTCAAATTAGAAACATAGATTTTCCCCCCTTTTCTGTATCTTTTTTATAATTGTTTCTCTCTCTTTTTGTCTGTTGATTCTGAATGTTTCCCTTGATCAATAGATTAGGCATGGTGAAGCTGTTGGAATAATTGGTCCTTCTGGCACTGGGAAATCTACGATTCTTAAGATTATTGCTGGACTTCTTGCACCAGACAAGGTAAGTAATGCTTATTGAGTCTGATTTCATATTTTTGTTACTTTGTTTTTGCATAATTATGTTGCATATTGATTTATTACTACTTAGTTCCTTACATAAGGAAAGCATACTTCTTATGTGCAGGGAGAGGTATATATTCGAGATAAAAAAAGGTCAGGTTTGATTGGTGATGATGAGATATCTGGTCTTCGAATTGGATTGGTAAAATTTTATTTAAGTTCTGAATACTATACTGGCAGGGCTTGGAGATAATTCATTGGTCGCATGATCGGTTTCTTAGTTTACTTTTTTGGTAACAGGTTTTTCAGAGTGCAGCACTTTTTGATTCTTTGACTGTTCGCGAAAATGTTGGTTTCCTTTTGTAAGCGACACTATAAATTCTTACCTAAAAATATTATACTATTTTTATCCTTAGATTTTAGGGGGTTATCTTGGATTCTAAATTCCGTTTCTCCCGATTAAAGAAATTACTCGAGTTGGTTGATGACTTTGTGTTTATGCATAGATATGAAAATTCAAGCATGTCCGACGAACAAATTTCACAGCTTGTGACGGAGACATTGGCTGCTGTTGGTTTAAAGGTATGTTTTTTTCCTTTTGACTTTCTTCACCTGGATAGCATCAAATGTTAATTACTTGTCCCAGCTTGGAATTTTCTCGCCTGATTTGGGGTTAATATGTAACCAATAACTAAGGTCTTAGTAAGTGTTGTGTCGGGCTGGCATGAACCAACATAATGAACCCTTGAAACTTGTTTTACGTAGTTAATGCGGAACCTCAGTTCTCATAGACTATCTGGTTATCATGTAACAAGTGTACGCCTTTACTTTCATTACCTCCTTTTGCACTGTAGGGGCCTTTATATTTAAGTCTTCAGTATATAAAAAATACCAATGCTTGTTCTCTTCAGGGAGTTGAAGAAAGGTTACCATCCGAGTTGTCCGGAGGAATGAAGAAAAGAGTTGCTTTAGCTCGTTCTATAATCTGTGATATAACCAAAGAATCAATTGATCCAGAGGTATGGTAAATTTCTCTTTGGAATTAATGGTGTGGAGTTTTTGAGATAATCCAGTGCATTATTCTTTTTCTCCAAAAGTTATGTTTTATAGCAGCCTTGGTTTTGTATCGTAACATGAACATTCAAACGTGCAATCCAAACAAACCATGGAAAAATGGGTTTCAACTGTTATCCAGCTGATCCTATTTGCTTTCAGATATTAATTCCAAACTGTAAAATTCAGAACACAACATTCATTATTAATATTCCATATCTTACAGCCATGGTGATAATTTATAAAATCATTTATCATTTGATTTGTCAGTTATTCACTACAAATTGCTGTATATATTTGTCTTCCATTGTCGTTGTTAGGTTCTACTTTTCTATTTGTTTTAAGAATTTTGTTGCACCTTAATGACAGGTACTTTTATACGACGAACCAACAGCTGGCCTTGATCCGATTGCATCAACAGTTGTTGAAGATCTCATCCGCTCTGTGCATACGAAGGGCGAGGAGGCACCTGGGAAAGAAGGAAAGATCGCATCTTATGTGGTTGTTACACATCAACATAGTACCATCCGAAGAGCTGTCGACAGGTTTTCTCCGATATACGATGTGTTTTAATTGGATTCTGCCATGATGTTGGATGGTCTACTCATTGAATCTCGTCTTTACTTAATAGGTTATTGTTTCTTCATGAGGGGAAGGTTGTTTGGCACGGAATGACCGACGAATTTACGACATCCACCAATCCGATTGTTCGACAGGTAATGACCGAAACTAGTTGCAATGAATTCGAAAGAGAAAACAGTTGGCAATTGCTCATCGTGGACGTTGTCCTTGTGTTATTTCAGTTTGCATCTGGTAGTCTGGATGGTCCAATCAGATATTAGAGGCACATACAAGATTTAATATCAGCTGCCAGTTGGGGATTCTGAGCAAAAACCAAGTCAAATGTCAATTTTCCATTTAGGCAGTGTGTTTGCCTTTGATAGTTAAGTGCAGCGGGATTAGTTGATGTAGATTTAACATGTTTTATTTTCACCAATTCAAAATATGAACCTAATTTTTCTTTCATTCTCTTTATTTATAAATTGTTGATATAAGTATATTTTTGTCTATTATATCTAATATTTAAAATTCAGTCGTATTATTTTTATTTACACATATTTAGTTCTTTTCCTTTAGATTTAAAAATTAAAGTCAAATTATTAATAGTGATAAAATTGCTCTGTTAAATTCAATTATGTGACATTTTAAAATAGAAAATATTTTTCAGTTATTTAATTAGAAAAATGACGTTCTAATGAACTTGGATTTTATAGACATGCTTTAACAATGTTAACAATTGAACCTGAATGCTTAATCTGAAAGGTAGATAAAATAAATTTCTAAAAGTAGGATGCCTAAATTTCGAATGTGCAAAGAGTCTTCGTACTTGAAGCATATTTTAACCTTATACTTTTTATATAATGCTCAAACTATCTTTAAAATATTACCCCCAAAAAAATCAGCATTCTTTTTTGTACATTTTACATTTGTATATTTAATGATATATTATCTAAAATATAAGAATAAAAATTTTGTAATATAATTATTGATAAATAAGAAATAAACTGAAGAATACTTTCATATTATTATATTAATGCAATTGTCTAGGAGTTTATATATACACGAGGTAGAAATAGGGATGAGTATAGGACCCAAACCCGACAGGTTCCAAACTGATCCGATCCGATCGGGTCAGATTTTAAAAAAAATTAAGTTCGGGGTGGGTCGGGTTTAGGGTGAAAAATACCCAATCCGACTCCACTCGGCCCCAAAAAATTATAATTTTACCTTATATATTTAGAGATAATTGCAAAAATACCCCTCTATATAATATTTTCTTTCAATTAAATCCCTATTGTTATTGAAGAAAAATAATATTTTTTTAATAACTATATTATTTCAAGTCGGATTGGGTTGGATGAAATTTTATCTCAAAAAATCGGGTCGGATGGAAGATGTATATTTTTCGGGTCGGTTCGGGTCTAGTGGAGAGTTTATAATTTTTGGGTCGGGCTGGATTTGATTTTCTTGCCCATCCCTAGGTAGAAGTAACTAACTAGCTTAACTCCCTAACTAGTAAGCAACTAACTAACCATAATTATAACCTCTTAACAATCTCCATCAAGTTAGTGGGTGAAAAATAATTTTAACCCCCAATTTGGATAATAAGTTTTCATGTTGTTGCACATTCAAAGCCTTTCTCATGATGTCAGCTTGTTGATCTTTGGTGGCTCTGCCCTTGTTGTATCTTTTCCTTGATAAAATGACAAAAAAAAATTATGTGTTTTGTACGCTCATGGAAGATAGGATTTACTGCAATCTGCAAGTCAGCATTGCTAACACTATAAAGCTTTGCATGTTGCTCATCTTCAACACCAAGCTCAACCAGTGACCTCTTTAACCAAATAAGCTCTGTAGTAGTCGCCATACTCTTGTATTTTGCTTCTGCAGACGAACATGCAATAGTACTCTGTTTCGTTGACTTTCAGAAAATTAACGAATCACCTAGATTGATGCAAAATCATGTTGTAAATTTTTGGTTAGTGACTAAAATGTAAGTTTTAAAGTTTGATAACCAAAATATAAACTTGTTAAAAGTTCAAGGACCAAAAAGATAATTTTTAAAAGTTACATTTTGCTCATAGACGAATAATTTGTCACGAAACTAATATTTTTGTTAGAATCAAAATTTTGATTCAGGGTTTTCATTAAAAGCTATAAAACAATAAAGTTCGATGAAAATCGGATAATCGGATTGAGTCGAAATTTTATGAAAATTTGAAGAATGCTAGATAAAGGTTGGAAATATATTTCCATATTTTAGAACAGTGAAATTTAGCATGGATGAGTGGAATTGAAGTTAATTTTCCCTATTTAGTTAAAATTACATGTTGAGTTTCATTAATTGAGTGGTTGAAGAACATGTTTGATTTTGAAGATTTGATGGAAGATTTTTACGTTGTTGATGTTGTAGATTAATTCTACAGCATGAATGATGATAAAAATTAAGTGTATAAGCATATAAGAAATTTGACCATCGCTAGGGTTTATGGAATTGATTAAATTTTGATTGAATTTGATGTTGTGATGATTGGAATAACGTGGATTTGATGTAAGGAAGTTGAATTCATGCTTGAAATTGAATAAAAAGTTTACCCTAGTGTATTAAGGACATTCGACCGAAGGGAAAAATATTGGGGTAAAATATTGAAAATTTCCTACGGTCTAGAATTGATATTAGATGTATTCTACTTGCTTTGGAGATTGAATTGAATCAATTTGGAACTTCGAGATAGTGAAAGGACCATTTTACAAGTTTTGGAAATTTTGTGATGTTGATGAGAAATTGTGAAATAATGGTATTCAATGTTGAATTTAATTATGGAATGCTGAATTTTAAGTTAGAATATTGAAATTGGGACCAAAGTGAAAATTTGGTGAAATTCCATAGTGGAATTTGAATAATCATGGGATTTAGGGACTTGATTGCAAGTTTATATATGTGATTGTACTATTTCAGTATGAAAGTAAAATGCTAGAAATTATTATTTGAATGCTGAATTTCAAGTATAAGTATTTAATTGGGATCAATTTTCAAATTTGGTAAAGTTGATGTTTAAATTCGAAAGGACTAAGAAGATTAAGGATGAAATTGCAAGTTTTCAATTGTTAACAGGTTGGATCGAGTATATTATTTATATGCTGAAAATTTTTGTATTTGACTTGAAGTAAGTAAATTGATGAAGGACCATTGTGAATTAAATGGAAAAGTTGATGTGAATTCTAAAAACATAAAAGGTGATTTAAATGTAAAGTTCGTGAAAGTTGAGGGATTGATGATGGAAATGAACATTTACGGAATTGAATAGTTATTTTGGAAAGTTTGAAGTTATGATGAAATTTTGATTTAGTTTTATATCGATTATGATTATAGAATTTATTTTATCAGAATTAGTATTATATAATTTTTAAAATGGTGTAATGTATATGATGTCGTAAAGATTACAACAAAACTTGTGATCCCAATGATTCGAAAGTGAAAGGCAAAGCACCTGAGTAAAAGGATATCATAGAAAAGGTTCAGTAGTGAGGCAAAAGTGAGTGCGATTTATTTATTTAATTATTCTGATCGAGGAAGACTTGCGATAAATCAACCTCATATTATTTTAAATTATGAATTTTAAAGTATAGTTTAATTCTAATTATGGAATGTTTCCATAATGCTTACATAAAGGTTTTATGAATGATTTTTTGGTGTGAATTACCCAATATTTCTATTTATGATATTTTCTGGAAAGATATTTGAATGAAATCTCTAAAGTGATTTTTGGAAATGAACTGCCTAAAGTATTTTATATGATATATATATATATTCAAATTATGGATGATTTCGGGTATAAACTGCACAAGTTATACTTTTTATATTGATTAGATGAAAATGATTCTGATTTGAGATGTATGATTAATGAATGAATATAATATGATCTGAGAGCCCATTGTATGTTGCATTGAGAATCGTAGGTACACTTGACATGCCATGAAGTTGAGTAAAGTAAAGTTTGATTCTGATATGGTACATTCGTGTACATTATTATTGCACCGTTGGTGCGGATGATATGATTGCACTTATAGTGCATATGAAGATGATGATGATGATGGCACCGTTGTTGCTTAGTGTGCACATTTGTCCGACTCACATACATTGCATTCTCTTACATATACATTGGGTATAAAATTAAATGTGAAAGTTATGAAAAGTATCTGAAAAGAAAAAAAAAATGAAATATGAAATATGAAAGTTTTGAAATGTGTTCGAATGAAAAAGAACATGGAATAATTGTTATATCTGATCTTGATTAACATGGTTTTGATAAAATCATGAGATATTATTTTCAGAGTTTTGAAAAGGAAAATGGCTTGAATAACTCAGTTTGAATGTTCAATGATTTTATTTAAATTTCATTTTAATGTTTTATATTTATGAGATTTTATGTTTTATCTCACCTTAGTTGTATTACTGCCTCACTATGTTTTACTTATCACATGATGATTTTTCATGCATAAGTTCAGATAAAAAAAAGAACGTGAAGTGAGGAGCCTCTCAAGCATCTTTTCATAAAATCGTACCTAATATCGGTATCAGTGAGACATATCTAATGATCATTTTTGCTTTTTAATGGCAAGTATATTATATATATCTGGTTGATTTGATGGATTTATTTAGAATGTTCTGTAATAATAAATTAGGACTATTCTATTTTGGCTAGTGTCAGCTATATATAAAAGTATGAATGAATCTCATATATATATATATATATATATATCATATCTTATTATGTTTTAAAAAGTTTTTAAAGGGTTTTTAAATTAAGCAGTGTTTAGGCAGTTTTATATAGTTTGTGAAACAACACTGAACTGCTTAATTGCTTCCTAATATCGATTTTATTTTGAATGATAAATTACTATTTTATGATTTTACCAATTAATTAATTAAATTTAAGTTGATAAATTGAAATCATAAAAATGGTCCAAAATTTTAAGGGTTTTATGCAAAGAATGTCTGAATGTTTAATGTGGCATCTTTAACTCGTATTTCGAGACTGTACGAGTTATGGGTGTTATATTTATTGATATCAAAGATTTATGTTTAGTCGATTCTTGGCCTAAACAAGGTCTGTATTATGTTAAAAAGGTGTACATGTCACTAGGATGTCAATATTACTGATATGATATAGTTAGTAGATTTAATTGTTTATGCTGCTCCTTACTAACGTAATTTTGAAATGTGATTGTATTAGATGTCGAAAGAAGAAGGATCGTCTCAAAATATTAATTTTGAGCTTCAAGATGAAGCTAAAAGTGAGGGTAAAAAATCTGATAAGGATAAAAAAAAGATCGAGATTATAATCGATCCAAACAAACCAGAGAAAACTTTAGTAATTTGCCTAGAAGGGTTGGAGTAGTAAGAGATTATCCTCAATT